AAAAGGAAGTAGAATAATAGGGAAGGAAGGCCAGTAGGGATAGCCCATGATGTTTGATCCTACTCTGAGGAACACATTAGTTTCTTGCTGATAGCAACCCCCTTACCTATTCCATTGTACTTATAACCTTTCTCTTTTGTCCACTATATGCCTTGTGCAGGCTTGGGGGAACAGTGCATGACTGTGGTTTTTCCCTTTTCCAAAATCTTGTGGTTTTGCTGTCTCCCCTTCTATGGTATGTGTATCTGTACCAACCCACCTACCCCAGCAATATAAGCCCTGTTTTGGTGTTACTGTGTTCAGCATCATTAACATGGTTAGAGGAGAGCATTCAGATTGTTCCCCTCCGTCCTTGCTTTCTCCGGTCAACAAGGACAGCTCACAACAAAAAGGTCCCTTGTTCTTGCTTATTTATAGTGCCTACTTGTGAGCAGAAACCTTTCTGCTTTCTCATGATTGCGGGAAACACGGATAACATCCTGTCTAACCATGTTGACAATGCTGGATACAATAACACCTGGACACAGGGGCTACCATAGTAGAAAAATGAAATCTATAGTTGGTTTTTGGACAAACTAATCAACACTATGCAAGTGCACAAGTGTTATTAATTCTGTGAAATTTTTGATCAGCTCAGGTGATTTAAAAAATAGATGGGAGAAGAAACTGTCCAAAACTTATTGCAACAAAATAAGCAAATAAATTCCTTGCCAAAATGGAAATTCCAGACTGGTAGATGAATCACTGATTAGACTGTGCATACCTCGTTATACTTAGTAATAGATGCTGAAATGTAGCATCAGTCACTGTTCCCCATCTATGAACATACCTGACTGGCATTCAGGATCCGGCATGTTTGCACAAATCAATAGATAAATCTCAGTCAGCATACAGCAAAAGTACAGAGTAACATGCAGTCTTTGTATCAGCAAAGCTGGAGATTAAATGCAAAATGTACACTAGGGAAGAAAGTTAGTTGAGGCCAAATATTGAATATTAAGCAGTGTTTGGAAGAATGCTTTCTCTCTTCAGGTGGTAGAAAATCTCGGTGGTAGAAATTTTTCCCCAGGCATGACTCTGATCAGGTTTTAACCTTGGAGTGATTTTTTTCCTGACCCACCAGTGGCAAAGCTGCCAGCTCTTGAACAGACAAGGAAATGAGATTGTCTTGGGCCACAGACATTCAGTTTTCCAGGGTTTAAAGAAAAATGGTTCACCCTTTTCTCCAAGCACTGCTTCTTCCTAACATGGTGTGAGATATAATGACTGAAAAAATAACAAGTATAACTCACTTTGCAAATTCCCCAAAATGATTAGGCCACATTCTAGATCAATCACTTGCCAAATTTTAATTAAGAATGCGTGGGGGCAAATAAAACCTTCTCTTCATCATTCCTTTTTGGTGCTGTGTTTCAGCCCTGGAGCTACATTTTGCAGCCGGGTTTTATAAACCTTGGAAAACTGGGGTTTATAATGGAAAAGCTGAGGTGGCCTTCAGTGCAGCATACACTGCTGTTACCCATCAAGGCTTTTCCATGGGGCCACGATGAAAGGAGCAGGAGGACATTTCAGGGTTGTTTTTTTCCATGTCCAACAGGTGTGGCTTATTATTCCACAGTATTTTTATTTCAAGGGAAAAGTTTAGTAACCCCAGCTGGCAGGTGAGCGGGATGGGGTTGGGGGAAGGAAGTCCTTTTTCATGGGCTCTTTGCCAGTGCATGTGTGTGAGGCTTGTTTAATTGCCTCATGTAACGAGTGCTTTATGCAGGACTGAGAAAATGTTTAAATGGAAGAATGACCCTGCAAGTGCCTTAAACCTCAGTTGTTCCCAACCCACATCTCTGGATGTAATCAGCAGGTCTTACAGTTTGGCACTGAAGATGCAGTTTCTTTTTGTAACCTGAGCAAAAATATCTTTTCTCAGAATAAATTGGCCATGTCAACTTTTCCTTATTTAGTCATTTTCAGCTTTTATGTGCCAGTTTTAATGTACAGAGAGCATCACAATTCTTACCTCATGTCCTCACAAGCAACCTTCTATCATATACTTGGTGGCAACAAAAACGTTTACAAAAGCAGATCATTGTGTATTTGAAATTTGAGTCTCCCATATATAGAAAATGACCATTCTGGATGATATACTGGCAGTTTTATTGAATAAAGTTAAAATACATATCATTTACGAAGCTTTGATCATGTGTACTACATTGAGTTGGTACAGCTCCTCTGTAAGCTACAATAATTCAATGGGCTAATTATATTTGTAGCTTACTACTAGGATTTCAGCCATGGCATAGTTGAGCAATTAACAGTGCAGTCCTAGCCTGACGTTGCCTGGCTGGGAGGAGGGGACCTAGAATGTGGTAGCAGGAGAGACTCGGTCACTGTGGAAGCTTCTGCCTATCAGGATGTTCCTGGGGTACCATGGGGATAAGCTGGTTTTAAATCTGCTGGATCCAAAAGTGTTCTGTTCTGTCCTCTCACATGGGTCTGATTAGAATCCTGCAGCTACAAAAGGCTGCTGGGCTGAAAAGCTTGGCAGAACTGTGTTCCTTCAACCAGGCTAGGAGTGCTTGATATATGATTGTTCTGATAAGCTCAAAGTCTGGCCTGGAACAGAAGTTGCTCATAGTTTTTATGTTTGTCAACCTTGAGGGCTAGCTTCTTTGATGCCAGCACTGATTTCAGTGTAATAGGACCTTGGCCTGTTGCAGGGCACAGAGAGTGGGACATGAAGCACATCCTGTCTCTAGGCATTTTGTTGCAGGGTTTGCCCCACCTCCAGCGGCCATGTCTAGCACAATCCTTTAAAGATATATGTAGTACATTAAAAAGGCTCCTTCATCTAAGCCAGGAATCAGGGAACTTTTTTATCTTTTACCCCCTAAAAAAATTATATACATACAGACATTACCCCCTTGATTTGAAAGGAGTCCCTGCCACTGCCTGGTGGGGCAGCGCTCAGTCCTTGGCCCCGCAGGGGGTTGGCTCCCTTTCTCCGCCAGCAGGGAGCTCCTGGGCGGCCATTGAAGAGCAGCAGGTGGCTCGCCGGCACCGGCAGCTGCTCGCTGGAGTGGCCACATCAGGGCTCCCCTGGGCCTTGCCATCGAAGCGCCGTGACAGCTGCCACACAGAGAGCAAGAGGCTTCGATGGGCTCCTCCAGGAATGGGGACAGGGCGTGGGGCGTCGTTGTCGTCCCGGCACCGGGAGTCTGAGCCTGGCCTGGGCTGTCGTCATGGATGCGCCTGCCCCCCTCCGCCACGATCCACCTCTCCGGGCACTGGAAGGAGAGGCTCTTCCTGGCTGGGGCGCTCCAGCCGCTTGCCCTGGCCTCGTCCTCCAACCCCGCCGCCGCTGCCTCAGCTACTGTATGCCGCTGGCCAGGGCCTGTTGCCGGCTGCCATCTGCCATGGCTTGGTTGCAGTCAGGTCAGAGAAGGGGGCAATCGTGCAGTTGGGGCCTCCCTCCAGGCAGAAGGGGGTTAGGATCGCGTCCTCATTACCCCCAGGATTTTTCATTTTTTCCCCATTTGGGGTAATTTATCCCTGTTCCCTGACCACTGATCTAAGCCTTGTTGATATTTCAATTTTACTAGATTAAGAAAGGGCAAATGTCAGGCTTGTGGAATCTGTATTTTACTGGAAGCCAGGTTACATTTAGAGTGAAAGAGCATGGTGCCTATTACAGCTGTTGAGGACAGAAATTTGAACACCAAAACTGTTCAGTCTCTTCCCCAAGCTTTCTTCCATTTCAGTAGTCTTGATTTAATAGTGTAAGGAATTGTTTTGTTGCTCCTGGTGTTAAATGATAGAGAATAAGAAATCTCTCACAGTCTACTGCAGATCATTTAAGTAGCCATCTCTGATGACACCTTACTGATTCACATCTTAACTATCTTTGAGTGGTAGTATTCTTCTGCTTCTCTATGAGCATTTCTTGGCTCTTCTCAAAATCTATCTGTTGAATGTTTTCTCAAAAGCAGCAGTTTCTATTTTGTGTTTCTTTGTTGCATTGGTGCTTTAACTACACAGTGCATTCAGTTAAAAATGAAAGTCTGACTCATGGACAGGGGGTCTGCTTTATTTTATTTTTATATTTGGTTGCTGTAACTGCATTGAATTTCATCTCACTGCACTTCTCAGCACCTTTCAGCAGCTGTATTTACCTCTACACAATGCATTGCTGCAACTATGTTGTCAGTCTTCTTTCTCGACTGCTTTCTGTCACATCTGTCAATCAATTGATGACTGGTATATTTTGACCCTGATTCTTGTTATCTGTCAGCTTCATTGACAAATGATATGTCAGCATAGTTTAATTTACTTCCCACACATCAATGGCTATTTTTCTTGCTCAAGCATTGGGTTACCTGTCACTAGGTTCTGGAATAGAAAAGAAATCACAGAAACTATGTAGCAATGACCACGGTCAGATATTTTTCAGACTGGAATTCTAAAAGTTACTTTTCAGAATAGTCAAAGCAAATTTGTGGTCCTCGGCATTGTAACATAAAACTTTACAGCAAAATGTTTTGTCAGCTTTTTCCTTCCTCAACTTGTTTGTCTTCCCTTCCAGTCATAATTCAGATATGAGAATGATACGGTTTCCAGATATTGTTGGATTACAACTCACATCAGCTATACTAAACATTGCCAGTACAGTAGTAACACTGATGGGAGTTGCAGTCCAAAACATCTAGAGCTAGGTGGAATAGGCTGAGTAAACAGAAAACAGTGTGGGTGGAAAAAGAGTTTTAAAATAAGAGGGACAAGATCTGTGGTAGCTGGCAAACCAAGAACTGACACCTCTATTTCCTTTCTGGTGTGGTGTCACCCTGGATAATAACTGTGAAAGTGGTAAGTCTGCCTTTTCCCCAGACTGAGGCCTAACCCACATGTTTTCTACAATTACTGTCATTTATAAACGTTATCCTTTGTAGTGTTTCTGTTGTAATGAAACAATTTTCTTTCTAACCCAACTCTCACTTGATCCCACCAAGGGTGCCAAGAAGCTGTGTCCTCAGTGCAACACCATCACCTCTCCAGGGGATCTCAGGCGGATCTACTTATGAAGGACATTGCTGGTCAGATCAGTTTGCTGTATCCTGGGGACTGGGTGGAAGGACTGGCAGCAACTACAAAAGACACTTGAAAAGCAAAACTAGAGACTCCATATGTGGACTAGAGGCTAGGGAGCTGCACGATGCCTCTGCTTCCGGACCTGTCACTGGTGCCGCCCTTTCCATAAGGCGGCAAAAAAAGAATCCTATTGTGAGCCCTCCCTTTTTTAAACAAACAGAATTTCCACACTTGTCCCATTTCTTCAAGAGCTGGGGTTCCATCACGGATAGCCTGCAAGCCTTTCTGGAGGAGCATCTTTGGAGCCAAGCCAACCTGAGAAAGTGCTGGATCTTCCACAGCAGGAACTCTTGACAGCTTGAAACTTGTGTTCTCCTCCCCTCCCCACCCCACTTTTATTTGTGATGTTCACGTGTTTTTTTAAAGTCAAAGAAAAATCCTGTACCCACACATCCACAAAGGCAGAATGAAGCACATGTAATATAGACTATATGTTTACAATGTTGTGTATAAATGGGATAGACTCCAACATTACATACTAATGTCTCCCTTTTATTTTATTTTTCCTTTTATTTGATTTTTTGTTGTACTTTTTTTTTAAAAAAAGAGAAAAAATAAGCAGAGAACATTAAACCCATATTTTTCTCGGTTCTGCAAAGTTTTGACATAAAAGTCATTAGTTTTAAAAAAGTATATATATATATATATTATACATATATATAATATAAATGGTTTAATGTTCTGTGATGTATATTTCCTCATTCAGATATGAACTTACCAGCTTCTAATAACGGCTGTAGTTTTGCCCGTAACTTACACAACTTCTGAGGGAAGTAGGGAAAGCAGCATCTTTGTCACTAGTAATAGCATATGGAACTATTTATATGGAATCCTTATATCCCACTGAAACCAATTTTTCATTGAGGAAATAGATGAAGTTGATAAAGTTTCACCACACTGCCAATCGCATAAAGGATAAGAGTTTACAAGAAGCAGTGAAAAGTAGACCACAGTCTTTGTCCGCAGTGTGGGGTCACTTTGCTGAATCCAGTCTGTTTTGTGAAAACTGAAGCAGTGAGCCATTGTATTGAACCCTCTTCTATAGCTCTTCATATGAGAGTAAATGCAAAAGAGAAGCAGAGGAAACAGCATATTCCACATATCTTGTCTGTGAGCAGGTGAAAAGCTGGTGTCCCCTCTGTCCTTCCTCCAGAAATTTGGTTCATTTCATAGCCAGGCAAGTTCTTTGTTGTTTTTCGGAATGTTGGCATGGCTAGTCACTGCCAGCCTGGTCTGAAATGTTCTTCTGCAGTGAAGGCACTGTACGGTGTTCCATCAAATGTTCAGAGGTTTTATGACAGGAAAATGTGTAATCCTCTTTTAAGTAGATAAGTGCTGGCTTTTAGTGGCAGGAATAGTTTTTCCCCCCCTGCTATCCATCCTATTTGGATTGTGCTAGTAACAGCGCTTGATGCAGGTTCACCCATGGTAAGATTCATCTAATCCCATTCTTATCTATTTCCACAATATTCCCGAGAGTAACTTTTACTTGGCCTCCTATTCTGCATTTTACAAATGTCCCCAGATGTGAGCCCTGTGTTACTCTGCTTGCTACCTTCTTTAATCAGAAATACAGAACTAATTTTTTATATCTACACAGCCAAACAAATTGCCCACATGCCACATGGTGAAGATTTTCAAGGTTGCTGTGAGTTGGGGAGTGAAAATAAGCAGCTTACAAGAGAAAGCATACACACAGAGATACACATACAGTGTCTGGCTAATTTCATCTTGGGTTGCATCTGTGATTTAAGCCTCAGAAGGCTATATATAGCTACATCTGGCAAGTTTAGTCATTCTGTTGTCAAAAGTGTGTGGATCACTTTTTGACAACAGAATGTCTTATCCAAACATATAAGACGAGTTGTACTTTACAGTAGAAGAAACCATATTCCTTTTCTACTTTCATTATGCACTGAACACAAGCAGGGAAAGCTATGGGAGTTGCAAGTGTTGCTGTTGGATTTCACTCCACTGTAAAACAGTTGTCTTTTTTAAAATTTATCTTCTGCTAGAGAATTCTGAGGTTCCAAAGTATTCAAACCAGACTTGAATTATGATGTTGAACTTAGCTACCTGTATTCCTGTCTTTTGCTGCCTAGGAATTGGGCATCATTAAGAGGTTTCTGTAGGTTGTGGTAGAAGTTGAAAGGGAGGCAGGCAGTACATTTCTGAAGAAGTAGCTGAGCTGAAATCCTAAATTTGCATCAACAGTTCACAAGCGCTACAAAAGTTTTGGCATGCCATTTGTTTCAGTCAGGAAATTCCTCCACTGGTACAGCACTTAAGCCTTCCTGCACTGGTTGTGTTGGGGAAGTCTGTCATGCCCAAACCTGCTTGCCCAGTACAATCAAGCAATCTCTGCTGGGGCATTTAAAAGAGAGCTACATTTCTCCCTGACTGTTTAAGAATAGGCTACACTGAGAGAACTCACTCTTGATGTTCCAGCAAATTGGCACTGGAAGCAAAGAGCTTTCTCTGGTCCTGTGGACCACTACTAAGCCAAATAGATAAATGTAAAAACCACATATAACTCGTAGCCTTATTTTTAAAGTTAACCTGTCCCCGTTTCATTTTTCTTGAGGGAGTAGGGAGGGGGAAACAACTCGAAGGGGAAAAGCAAGGGACTGATTTATTCATTTCCTTTGTGTGTGTGTGCATGTGTGTAGCACAGCACATTTTGCAAAAGTCTGTGCCCACTCCCTCTTCCTCAATAAACTTGAAAAGAAATTAGCTATATTTGCCCAAAGATTCCCAGCTGCACAAGGTGGTATTCAAGTTGTGTCAATGATTGTGTGTTGATGTATATTCTATAAAAAGGTACTTGTCATTCCCGTTTGTAAACTACATTGACATTAATTAAATGAATATAAAAAATCTTCCAAGTCTGTTCACCGTCCTATAATTGCTTGCTGCTTCAGCAGTTGACTAAACAGAGACCTTCAGTCCTGCTTTCCTCAAATCCTGGCACTGCTGCTACAGTGCATGGTAGCTGTTTGGTCACAGTCATGCACAGTGACTGAATTATCAGTTCAAGCCAATTGCTTCTGTTGACCATTGTTCATAGGCATCCTTCAGTCTCGAGAGACTATGGTAATGTGCTCTGTATGGAGAATTTGGAACAGCGTCTAGTGTGGCTGAGAAGGCCAATTCGAGAGTGACAGTCCCTTCCACACTGAAGACAAATCCAATCTGTCCCCTGTCTGGCTCCCTGCTTTTGCTGCTTTTGTGACTTCCTCTTTGCCTCGGCCTGCTGGGCAAGAGTCTCTTCGAATTGGGAGAGGCCGTGATGCAGACAGTTAGTTCATCTGTGTAGCCTAGCCCTGTTTAATCATTACGGCCTTTCAAGCAGTGTACAGCCAGCTGTTAAACAGAAAAGTGTGTTTAGGGTGAATTCTTGAATGGAGGATGCCAAGCTGGAACTCCTGATTTCCTAACAAAGGGGAGATCCATCAATAAAGAAGGTATGCCTTCAATTGTCTTTTTAAGGTTATTTATTTATGTTTCTAATATTGGCTGCACAACTATGAGATGTGGGACACTGTGGTGACCAGCAGTATATGTAAAAATCTATGGCAGGAGTCAGCAATATGCAGTCCTCCAGATATTATTGGAAACTTTAATACCCTTCAGCTCTAGGTACCAGAGACAATAGTGAGACAAGATGAGACCAGCAATCCAACAACAGCTGGTTGTCTGAATAAATTAAAATGGAAGGAAGACCTGGCTTAGTTATCTTGGATCCCTGGAGGTTCCTCAAAGGACTAAGAAATAATAATTCAATTATGTTAGCAGAGGTTGCAATGGGAATGAGTAGGTTGCAGCCTGTCCCATATAGCTAGGGTTTTTGCTTTTTTTTTCCAGATACAGTCAATACAACATTATCAATACCCAGATTTTCCAGTAGAGTCACTAACAAGATCAAGTTATATTCAGGTAAAGTGGAAACAATTTTAAGCAAGTGTGGTATGTAAAGAGATGTATAAAATAGTAGCTCTTCAACAAAACATACAGAAAATGAAAACCAGCTAAAGGTCCTAGATAGCTCTCCAACATAGACAGAACTTAGCCACAAAACAGGTTAGGAGTAGAGATGAGGGTATTCATAGGGGCCAGCCCCTGGAGCCGAACCATCCACTCTTGCCTCCGCCAGTGGCAGCCACACAGGGAAACTTGTCCTCCCTCCCCTTTCCTGGAGTGGTTAGTTGAGTAGGAAGAGAGCAGGGCTCCAGGAGTGACTGAAAGGATGAGTGAGGCCACCGCCACCACTGGACATGTAAGTGGACAGTCCTGCCCCAGGCCAGACCCTCATTAAGTCCAGTTGCGTGGGGATATTCGTATCTGAATACAAATGCCCCCATCTCTAGTTAGGAGCAAAAGAACTGCATTATTAAATTAGACCAAAAGGCTCCTATCTTCAACAGCAGCAGGCACAATGAAGACAGTATTGTATTGTATTCCACTTTGACTCAGGCAGTAAGGAACTCCTACTTCTGCTACTCTTAGCTAATATCATGTGCCAACAAACAGTGCAGTTGTGTCTAGACTCCAGAAGTGAACAAGCTCTTAACAGTCCAAAGGTGTTTCCAAGACCTCAATTCTTACTACTTCCCCAAAGCAACGACGTTTTTGTGAGTGGAGGTACAAGCTGAAATTCACTTGGTCATCAGGTTCCCTAAATTGTCATGAGCAACAACAACAAAAGTTCAGCTAACCACATTTGGACAGCTGCAGTTGATTTCTGAAATGTGACTGTTTTAGTATGCACCCTGGGCTTTGTGGGTCTCAAGAGTCAAAGGGGTGGGGAAGAGAAGGCCTTCCCAGTTTATGGGCCACAGCAAGTGAAATCTCAGTATTGACTATCCATAAAGCATTTATGAGTGCTTCACAGCACACATACTCAATTGAGTTCAAAGGGTATCATAACAGCTAGACAAGCATCTCCAAAGAGCAGCTGAGGCAGAGACCACCGGCCTTTAGGGCAAACTAAATTCCACACAATAGTTTTTTTGTTGGTGAAGCTGAAGTTTTTGTAGGACTCACAGTAATATGATAATAGTAATTGAAAAGCCCAAATGTCATACATCATGCTTGTTCCAGGAAGTAAGATTACAACTGCCTGAAATTTCAAGGAGGCAGATTTCAGGTAAGCTTTGGAAGACACATAATAAAAGTAAAACCTGTCCAACAGTGGGGTGCATTTGCTTTGGGAGGTGGTAGGATTATTTGTGCTGTGGGTAAGCAGAATGTATCAAAGAGGCTGAAGTTGCAAAATTACACCAAGTAAGACTTGCACTGCCATGTAAAGACTTCACAGAAACATGACTCTGAATGGATCTTGAAACTCTTCTTGTTCAAGTGCTTGCAAAAAAAGCCTAGCAGTTTGTTCAACCTCAAGACAAACTACAGCAGGAATTCAAAACAAGACAAGTGAACAGATAGCACTAGCACAACTGAGTCTGTATCTGTACATCAGATGCTTGTGCTTCCAATTTGGCAAGCCAGATAAAGGCCCTGTTTTCTTCCCCCCTAGAAAGCTGTGCTGCCAGCTGCAGGAAGCCATGGAGCCAGTATAATCTGCTTTGGTAATCCCTATGGGATTTCCTCCACCATATGGGCACAGAGGTGAGCAGCTGTAAAAGACAACAAGGCACCTGTATCTTTGATAGTTGAACTGAAGAGGCATTTTGGCATGATGAAAAATGCAGCTGTCATCATAGTACACATGTTCTGTGAGAAAACTGCACCTGCCACAATACTCTTTTCTATACAACTGTTCATGATAAAAAAGCCCCCTGGCTCCAATATGCAGACTAAAGAGGATGTGTTGCAGGACTCATTTAATGCAAGCAATAAGCATTGTGAAGCTGTACTTTTGTAGGAAATGCATGACAGGCATGCAGCTTCTTTGGGGAACCTAGAATTTTAATCCTCACAGTACTTCCTTCAACTATAAAGAAACTGGTTTGAGGATGGCAATTTGGTACACACATACATTTTCAACACTGACCCAGCAGTGGTGCAGGGAACGGGTCTAAATTCTCACACAAGACTCCTCTTAGAAAAAAGCAGTTTATAGAGCCATGTTTGTGCCTTCAGTGCATCAGTATAAATACTGAAGTGCAAGTATGAAGACAGAAATCATATTTCCTGAAAAATCGCATTAACAAGGGTGTGTGTTAATTAGACTGAGTTAAGTGAGTTAAAGTTTAAGTCGCTATTACTCTTCAGCAAGAATGAGGCATAGACAGATCTGTACATAAGGGGCCAATGGCAGCAAAAGCCAACACATTTCATGTTGCCATTTCTGGTCCACTGAAAGAAATGCTGTGAATTGCAATGTGAAATCCATCAAGCCCTTGTAAGGTTCACAGGTCCTAATATGAACCTGTTGTACCTGCCATGCTGGTGCCTGCAAAATCTATTGGTTCATTTTTTTACACTCACTGAGAGAACAGGGCTGACAACTGAGTGAGCCAGTGGAGCTCCTAAGCGAGTATAGACTTTAGGTTTCATTCCCTTTTGTGCCATATGAGTGTTTACACCCACTGAGAGAACAGGGCTGACAACTGAGCCAGTAGAGCTCCTAAGCGAGTATAGATTTCAGGTTTCATTCCCTTTTGTGCCATATGAGTGGACTTCTATGTACCCCAAAGGATGCCCCACCCCTGGAATCTGTGGATGCAGAAAAGCAGATAGGGAATCCATTGTAATACTAGTGTTCCTCCTGTTGCTACAAGGATACCTCTGGAGTTCATACACTGAGCTTTTTAAAGCTCAGGCAAAAACCTGGATCCGGCTCTTAGAATAACCTAATGGAATCAATAGATTTATATAAGGGTTGATTGAACATTCAACAACTGATTTTATAGGTCTGCTCTAATCAAGACTATGTGTATGTTATGTGCTGTCAAGTTGGAACCAACTTAACAGCAATCCCAATAGGGCTTCCAACAGAAATGAGGTATTTAAGGAGTGGTTTTAACAACTCTATGCTATCCACAGTGAGTCTCAGTGGCTGAGCAGGGATTTGAACTCAGGTCTCCTCATTCATGACTACAGAAGAACTATGCAACTTTAGCACTGACAGTGAAGAAATTGAAATAGAGATTTTCTATAACTTGGTTCAATAATCAATCCAAACAGAGATTGCAGCCAAGAAATCAATCCGTCAGTCAATCTTTATTTGAACGATCACAAATCCAGTTATTAGAAATCAAAAGATGACGGAGACTAGGAAGGGCAGCAATGAAGAAATTAGAAAATATCATCAAATATAAGGATGTGCCAGTGGAGATCAAGACCCAGGGAAAAAAACAATAATGCTATAGGAAAAGAGGGAGGCAGTAGGAGAAGAGGGAGATGAAATATGAGATGGCTGACTCCCTAGAGAAAGCCACAGACTTGAGTCTAGAAGAGCTGAGCAGGATATTTGGGGACAGGACATTTCGGAGATCACTCATTCCGAGGTTCACCCTAAGTCAGAAACAACTTAACAGCACATAACAAGAATTCCTGAATCCTGGCTCACCATTCTCCACTATACCACACTGCCCTAAATCAGGACTAACAACTGGCTTTCGGTCAAAGTTGCAATATGACAAATCAATGCAAATTGAACTACTGCTGTTTTGGGAAAACCTGGTTATACATCAGTTTTAGGACTAGGTTACAGATGGCACTGAAGCCACTGTAACTTGTGCATATATATACTTAAATTAAGATTTTAGTCTTTTTTTTAAATGAGGAAAAAAATTACAAAATATTGGTAGGATCTGGACCATATAAAATCATGCTGCATAGAAGTGATCTAAGTATTTGCCAAGCAAATTTCCATCAGGATTAAGTAAGCACAATAAACCTGGTAGACACTTGAGTC